TTTTTTTTTTTTTTTTTTTTAATTCAGGATTCTTTGATTAATTTTAAATTTTCAAAAGAACAATTTATTTGAAACAGAAATCTTTTGTAATATTATAAATGTCTTTACTGTTACTTTGGATCAATTTAATAAACAAAAGTGTTACTTTCTTTCAAAAACAAATAAACAAAAAATCCACACTAATCCCCCCAAAAAATCCAAAGTGTGACATCTGTCAAAAAAGTCGGTCCCACTTTATATTGTGGCTCTAATACCTGTGTACTTACATAGTAAATAGATGTGTATGTAGTATGTAACTACAGTGTAAGTACACATTGGTACATAGTATCTACAGCTGTAATATTTCTGTAACTACACATATGTAACAACCCACTGAATGGTTTGTGTAAGTACAAATGTGTAACAGGACATTGGTAACAACACTTTTTTTCACTTCACTAAGTACTCGTGTAACAGGAATTATATAGCTACATTTTGTATAAGAGTGTTGTATAAGAGAGCAACAATATGTATAAGAGTAATTGAAACCATTTGATCCAGAGGTTGGAGATGGGTAGGTTTAGGGGTGAAAATGGGATCCAGGGGGTGGAAATGGGTAGGTTTAGGGATATGTAAAGTGGGAGGAGTTGGATCTCGAGTTGGTGCACCACTGTAATACCAGTGTACTTACATGGTAACTCCTCAGGAACTGTCCACTTAATATAAAGTGTAACATTCTGGACACCAACCACAATTTATATGTAAAGCCTAACTTACTGGCCGCTGCTGTGACTGGCCGCTGCTGTGTAACATCAGAGTAATTACATGGTACATCTAATATAAAGTGTAACACTTTCTTTACCTTTCTTTAAAAAATGCTGTTAGTCCTGATACACATTTGTACTTTCATTACCAAAAAGTATTGTGACCAATATCCTGTTACACATTTGTATTTACACATACCATTCAGTGGGTTGTTACATATGTGTAGTTGCACAAACATTAGATACTATGTACCAATGTGTACTTACACTGTGGTTACATACTATGTACACATCTAGTTACTATGTAAGTATACAGGTATTAGGGCCACTTAATACAAAGTGGGACCAAAAAGTCAATATAGTCATTTTTAGAAATACACTATCATATACATGGATCAGAACTGACACCACTAAAAGCCACTAAACACCAGTTTTGATTTCACATGTCTATCAATGAAGAGCTTTAGGACAAATGAGTCATGTTTAAGTAAAACAGCACAAGGAAGACTAAAATCATCCACTACTGCTGAAGCAGCATCTCTTGGACCATTTGAATAACTTTTGGTTACAGTTCATCTAAAGCAGCAAATAAACAGCAGACTGATTTCAGGAATTATCACCTTGAGGGGATCGAAAGTCAAACGTGCACTCAGTAAGACTGTGTTTAATGAGATTCCCTGACCTGGAGTCAAACCTTTGACTACATACACATTATACAACCCTTCACTACAACCACACAACTCCTCACAGCTCAGAATCTGAACACACCTATATATGATCTTTCCTACAGTGGTTTTGAAGTCAATGAATGTGCGTTTCTAATCAAATAATCTGATCCATCCTTTACCAGAACAGAAGGATTCAATTACAAACTCCTCTGGGGGCTCTTCTGTCTGCTAAATTCATTAATTTGTATATCCTATCAGTCAAAAGCTTTGGACACATTAGACTGAATTTGATATAAAGAATTAAGGTCTTTTCACACCAGGAAAAATACTTGAAATTTGCTCAAATTTGGTGTGACAAACATTGTAATTCAGCTGTCTTGTCATAATTGAATCAACCTCATGTTGTTCCAAACCCATTTCATTTTGCATCAAGCAAGTGGACTGAGCTTCCATTTACAATATTTGATGTGCTCGTGTTGATGTTTATATGTGAATAAAAGCCTACATTTTGTAAAAGTGTACCACATAAATAGATCAATACTGTTTAAAAAGCATCTCAGAATGCACCTCATGGAGTTAGTTGAAAGAATCAATACTTTAAAGGTAAAATAAGTTAGCCATGATGTGTTTAACATTTTAGCATTATCAGGGTTTCTGCAGGTTTATTTAAGGTAAATGTACGATTTTTTTTAAAGACGTTTTTAAGACCAAAGTAAATTCAAGGAACATTGGCTCAGAAATTGGCTCAACTTAATTCATGCTAAATCAACATAAAAATCAACTTAATTCAAAACAAGTTTTAATTCTTATCTGTTATTGTTTTAAGCATAAACTCAATACATTTTTGGTCAGTTTCTCAGAAAACAAGACTTCATATCTTCATTTTGCATCTCCAGTGAATATATCTTGATTTAAGGACGTTTAGATATTTGTACTGGAAATCAAGACAAAAAATACTGAGGAAGATATAAATTTTTAGCAATGAACGCAACATTTAATGCAATGACTTTATGAATTTAATATTTTCTGCTCCAATTTAAGACTTTTTTGGAAGGGCGAATTAAGACTTTTTAAGACCTTTCTAAGACCCTCAGAAACCCTGATTATGTCCATACATCCATGTGTTATTTCATAGTTTTGATGAATTATTCCAAACAGAAAACAGCAATAACAAGGAATAGGCACATGCAAACATTTGAACAGCAGTGAAAAAAAATAAATCTTAACTTGGTGGAAGTGCATTTAGCAGTGCTGTGTGCAGTACTTTCTATCAAAAAACACATTTCTGGATATTCACAATCTTATCAGCAGCGCCAGATATCTGACGTCAGCATGACAGGAATCATGTTCTGCTCTGTCATTTCAAGAAATGATTGGAGAAGATGAATAAATGTGTGCTTGCTCATTTATGTATCTGCTCTGCAACAGTATTTGTAGCCATTTTCCAAAGTGCTGAGTAATGTTTGGACAGGAAGTGTGCAGCAGAGAGCAGAAGTACATAAACACAAACACCCGGGTCTGCTTTAACTTAACTCTTCAGCAGGTTTACTTAAACCGAGACAGGAGATATCCAGGTGTTCCTTAAAGATTGTAACAGCAGGTGGCACAGTGTGTCCGGCATAATTAGCACACAAAAAAAACACACAGTGGATTTCAAGGTTTGTGTGCATGTGTACTGGTTGCTAGTTTGTTCTGTTTAATGCCTGGAGAGAAGAAGCCTTTATTCATCTCAGGGGTTTATTTTTGCTCTGCGTCCTCTCTTATAAATCTCAATGAATGCATGGTCTAGAAATCTGATGTTGGTTCAGCTTCCATTAGACTGTGATTAGAAATAATGGCAAAGCAAGATAATACTGGCACAACTAAGTAAACCTTTGACTGCTGTGATACGTTATTGCACAGAATGAATGTTCTGAACAGCAGGTGGTCAAAAAAAGAGAGAAAAGACTGACAGGAAATGACACGTTCAAACAGCAGAGGAACAAAGTACTGGTAGACATTAGATTTCAGCATTTTTTATAAATAGGATAGAAATGCTGCTTCCTGATTGGCTCAGTGTACGCATGCTCTTTACGCTGCACTCTAAGCAGCCATACTGTGGAAATCACGCTTTTCCTTGCTCTTATGAAATATAAGAGTAAACTTATTTTAAACAAACACTGATAGCCAATCATAACTGGGGTTATTTCGATAAAAAGTCTTAAAGGGGTCATAGGATGCCCATTTTCCACAAGTTGATATGATTCTTTAGGGTCTTAATGAAAAGTCTGTATCATAGTTGGGTTAAAATTTCTCAATGGTAGTCTAAAAAACTCCGTTAAACTCCTCTTCCTTTAAATATTAATGAGCTCTGCTGACCCCGCCCCTCTCTTCCGAGCCGCTCTCAGAGAGACTGAAAGATTTTAGTAGATTTACAAAAAACCACTGGGTGGATTTTTATCATTTTAGGGTGGTTGTGTACACACACTGCCAACACACATTTCAGTTCAAACAACTTGTAAAAGTGCATGTAGCATTATATGACCCCTTTAAAGTAGTACAAACAGCTAGGGTCATTGTTTTGGAAGTATAAAATAAAATAAGACAAAAGGCCCCTTTATCTAGAACACTGATAATCAGCTTTAAAACACTCCACATAGTGTCACATAGAGCAGGACTGTGAAGTTCCCACATCAGGTTTCTCATGAAGTGTGAGTGACGACGTGTGGCAGTGGTACTCACCAGCATCAACGCCTCCAGCTGGTTAATATAGATCTCCTCACTGGCCAGAAAACCAGACAGAACCAGTTTCTTCATCTCCAGACCTTTCTCTGTGTCTCCCTGAAACACATAATCGCATACAATACAGAAGAATCAGTGAATCTGAAAACACCTAACATTAATTACTCTTTGAAGCTATGAGTCTTTGTTAAACGTTACTGAATGAAAAGTTGACACAGGAAGATATTTAGGACTGTGCAAGCTTTGGATGTGTTGATGGACTTGATGTAATACATCTATGTTTTGATCATTGTTCTGAATCTGATCCAGACGTGGTCTTTGACAAAAACATGATTTTCTCAGCTTTTTGTTCAAAATGCTCTTTTTCATGAAACTAACCCACATTCAAGTGTAGATAAAAAAAAAAGAATGCATGAAGCTAGAATAAAACAAAAAAAAAATTTTTTTAAAACATAGGCTCTGTTCTTTATTTTAAAATGTTGCATGTTTAGACATTCATACAACTAAATATTCTCAGGGCCATAAAAATTTTGTGAAAATGCTGGCGGCCACTGGCAAACTTTTTAAAAAATGCTGGTGGGGAAAGA